GCAGGCCCGGGACTTGAGTCCTGGAGATGGGAAGTACAGTGCCTGCACTCTGAAGGAGGGGTGTTTAATGTTGCAGTTTAAAAACTATAGTGTAAAGCACCCTTCTGGCAAGACAGTGATGGAGTGAATGGTGGTGAAAAGTTTTTTCTTTTTTTTGGGCCACCCTGCCTTGGTGGGGAAACGGCCAGTGTGATAATAATATAAAATATTAAATATATATATATAAAATATATATAATTTAAAATATATATATATATTTATAATATATATTATATATATATAGCAAGAACTCGTTTAAAATTAACTGTTTTCTAAAATATTCTCTTATACAATTAAAGATATATATTTTTTCATTTATGTTAATATAAAAATTAATGATTGTGTGCCAAAAGAACCTTAGGAAACTTATCTAACCTTATTATAACAAGCGTAATTTAATTTAGCCTAATCCAGTTAAATATATTTTATACAAATATATGTATATATACATATATACATATGCAATAAGATCACAGTAAACAGGTGATTTTAAAATATGCAAAACAACCACTGTGAAAGAGTAGTGAAATTCCAAGCGCTTTCGTGACTACTCACATTATCAAGGAACTATGAAAGTAATACATCAAAGGAAGGCAATTAAAGGGCTTAGACTACACCTCACAGTCAACCCTTGGAATTTCACTACTCTTTCACAGTGGTTGTTTTGCATATATACATATATACAATAATAGTTTAAATCATTGTTAATTGATTACATTACGCAGTATTGGGAGGTGTATATAATATACGAGGGAGAAGAAAGTTTTGTGAGGGCTGCCTGTGTCAGTTACCATAAGCATATATCTGCATTAGCATATATCTGAATTACCATGAGCATATATCTGAGCTACCATAAGCATATATCTGAGTTCACTTAGCACAAGTCTGGGCTACTAATAGCTTATATCTGAGACTATTAGCATATATCTAAGCCACCACAAACACATACGCAAGGTATATTGAACACATATCAGACCTATCACAAGCTACCATGAGCACATAGCTATTATGAACAGCACATATGTGAGCTAACATGGGCTACCTCAACAACACCTGAAATACCATAGGCACATATTTCAGCTAAAATGAGCACAAATTTCAGCTTCCACGAGCACACTTCAGCTACACTTCATTATTACACGCTTGCACAAACAATCTTGCAATACACAACAACCCTGACGTGAGCTGAGCGGACAGTTGCAATAATATGAGCGAACAGTTATCGTTATTATTATTATTATTATTATTATTATTATTATTATTATTATTATTATTATTATTATTTATAATTATATATACTACATAAATATACGTGTAGGAGATGCCGGAATGTATTGCATGACTAAGGACTTTCCTCTTACAATAAACCTGGTAAGAGGACGAGGCATCTCAGCACTTAAGTGCTCACCACTGGGTTAGGTTTGAATTGTTCCTGTAAAAGTACTGTGTTGTGGACTAGTTGTTGCAGCAGCAGTGTTGTGGATTAGTTATAAATTGTTCCAGCAACAGTGTTGTGGGTTATAAATTGTTCCATCAACAGTGTTGTGGGTTATAAATTGTTCCATCAGCAGTGTTGTGGGTTATAAATTGTTCCAGCAACAGTGTTGTGGGTTATAAACTGTTCCAGCAACAGTGTTGTGGGCTATAAATTGTTCCAGCAACAGTGTTGTGGGTTATAAATTGTTCCAGAAACAGTGTTGTGAGTTATAAATTGTTCCAGCAACAGTGTTGTGGGTTATAAATTGTTCCAGCAAGTGTTGTGGGTTATAAATTGTTCCAGAAACAGTGTTGTGGGTTAGTTGTAAATTGTTCCAGCAACAGTGTTGTGGGTTATAAATTGTTCCAGAAACAGTGTTGTGGGTTAGTTATAAATTGTTCCAGCAACAGTGTTGTTGGCTATAAATTGTTCCAGCAACAGTACTGTGGGTTAGTTATAAATTGTTCGAGCAACAGTGTTGTTGGTTAGTTATAAATTGTTCCAGCAACAGTGTTGTTGGTTAGTTATAAATTGTTCCAGCAACAGTGTTGTTGGTTAGTTATAAATTGTTCGAGCAACAGTGTTGTGGGTTAGTTATAAATTGTTCGAGCAACAGTGTTGTGGGTTAGTTATAAATTGTTCCAGCAACAGTGTTGTGGGTTAGTTATAAATTGTTCCAGCAACAGTGTTGTGGGTTAGTTATAAATTGTTCCAGCAACAGTGTTGTGGGTTATAAATTGTTCCAGCAACAGTGTTGTGGGTTAGTTATAAATTGTTCCAGCAACAGTGTTGTGGGTTAGTTATAAACTGTTCCAGCAACAGTGTTGTGGGTTAGTTATAAATTGTTCGAGCAACAGTGTTGTGGGTTAGTTATAAATTGTTCGAGCAACAGTGTTGTGGGTTAGTTATAAATTGTTCCAGCAACAGTGTTGTTGGTTAGATATAAATTGTTCCAGCAACAGTGTTGTGGGTTATAAATTGTTCCAGCAACAGTGTTGTTGGTTATAAATTGTTCCAGCAACAGTACTGTGGGTTAGTTATAAATTGTTCCAGCAACAGTGTTGTGGGTTACTGGATAATTGTTCCAGCAACAGTGTTGTGGGTTACTGGATAATTGTTCCAGCAACAGTGTTGTGGGGTACTGGATAATTGTTCCAGCAACAGTGTTGTGGGTTACTGGATAATTGTTCCAGCAACAGTGTTGTGGGTTACTGGATAATTGTTCCAGCAACAGTGTTGTGGGTTACTGGATAATTGTTCCAGCAACAGTGTTGTGGGTTACTGGATAATTGTTCCAGCAACAGTGTTGTGGGTTACTGGATAATTGTTCCAGCAACAGTTTATCTGGAGAGGAGTTTATCTGGAGAGAGTTCCGGGGGTCAACGCCCCCGCGGCCCGGTCTGTGACCAGGCCTCCTTAGGTCAGTGTCCCAGGATGCGACCCACACCAGTCGACTAACACCCAGGTACCCATTTTACTGATGGGGAACATAGACAACAGGTGAAAGAAACATGTCCAATGTTTCTACTCTGGCTGGGAATCGAACCCAGGCCCTCACCGTGTGAAGCGAGAGCGTTAGCCACCAGGCCACCAGTGTTGTGGGTTACTGGATAATTGTTCCAGCAACAGTATTTTGGGTTAGTTATCAACAGTTAATATTTATATTTGTAAAATAACGTTTATGGTTTGTAAATTTTTGATGGAAACGAGGGAGGGGTAGGGAGGAGGGGGGAGGGGGAGGGGGGGAGGGGAGGGGAGTGCCTTGATGATGGTGAAGGGTTCTAGATCCAAATAACTGGAGATTTCTTTGCTTTTCTTGGATCAAACCTGATTCCCAGAGGTTGTACGACCCCTACGCGTTTAGCGGATCCCAGTGAAAATGTAGAAATAATAATAATTATTTTAACAGTAATTAATGCAGACTGCAAACATTGCAGAATACATTGGCTGAGAAAATTAAATAATTTGCAATATGACATTGTGTTGGCCTGTTAGTTATGTACCTGAAATAATTTACATTTTGAACATCAGGTAATTATTAATGACTTACGAAATAAAAATAACTTGATTGTCATTTTTGGAACGACTTGGGATGGGTTCGAGTCCTGTCTGGTCGGTCATTAATTAATTTTGCTTGTAATTAAGGAATGGGTAATGACAATGTTGTCATGAGAGTATTACTCATGTGCTCTTATTACTCCTTGTGTACCTTAAAGGGGAAAGGGGGGGGGCAGTTGAGGGAGGCCTTGATACTTACTGATGAAGGGGTCTTGATCCCAGGAACTGATACACCTTCCCATTCCTTAGATAAAAAAAAGATTACGCCTCGTTCCCCAAGAATTGTATCGCCCCTGCGGGTTTAGCGTTTTCTCGTGAATATTATAATAGTACTACTAATTATTATAAGTAATATAATATTAATATGGTAGTAAAGGAGCAAAGGTTAGCATACTAGAGGCTTTTTATTATGCAAAAATGATAAAAGGAAAGCGGTGAATATGGAGAGAAAAAGAGTGGCGAGGGAGTGCAAAAAATAAGCCAGAGAATGAATGAATCTTTATCAGCAAATTTTGCCGAGAATAAGACACGATTTTGTAGAGATTTAATAAGTTTAGAAAGAGGCTTGGGACGAAAATGGACAAAGCTGTTATGCACGGAGAGATGTTAAATGGGGAAGTGGAGGTGCTGGAAAGATGAGAGAATGTTTCAAGTTGCTCAATGTTGGTGAACAGGAGGTGGTAAAAATCATATACTGGGCAGGGACAAATATATTTTATGAGTAAGGGAAAACAAGAGGTGAACATGCGAGATAATGAGTAAAATAAAAGTGGGTAAGAATCTGAGACAGATGGGATTAAGAGAGAGACGTTAGAAACAGGTGGGATAAGGAGCAAACAGATAGACAGCAAACAAGTTATCAGTGCAGTAGTCTGTATCATACCTTGCTGGGTGGGCGGGGGAATAAGAAGCTTTATGGGGTAATAAGTATGTGGGTAAAATAGCAAGCTACCTGGAACTAAGAGGACGAGAAAATAAATACCCATGCGAGGGTGACGAGCAGAATAAAGCCTGTGTCCGACAGTCGGTTGCGCAGGACCATCTCATGGAATGTGAGGAGCCATTGCTGTTTACCAGTGTTTTCATGAGAGAAGTGTTTAGAAGCTGCCATGATATCAGTCACCAACATAATCCCACAAAAATATAGTAACTATAGCATTTCCGAACTCCTGACAAACCGGTTGCTGCCCAAACTAGTTGCTGCAGTTAGATGTTACCAGCCAACGAGGCCTAGAACAGAAGAACGGACGGGGACTCAAACCATGGTCCACGCTGTAACCACTCAGTTAGAGTTTACAATAGGATGATTTTACAACCAGCACTTTTGTGACTCCCTATACCATATAAATATCGCTTGATTTAGTGGTCTCTATTACTTACATGTGTGTATGTATTATATTACTTACATGTATGTGTGTACTTACAGGTGAAGCAGATCATGGAGGAGGCTGTCACTCGCAAGTTTGTTCACGAGGAAAGTAGCACCATTACCTCCCTATGTGGTGAGTGTTACTGTGTGTGTGTGTGTGTGTGTGTGTGTGTGTTTATACTCACGTAGTTGTGGTTGCAGGGGTCGAGTCACAGCTCCTGACCCCGCGTCTTCACTGGCTGCTACTAGGTCACTCTTCCTGCTCCATGAGCTTTATCATACTTCTTAAAGCTATATATGGACCCTGCCTCCACTACATCACTTCCCAGACTATTCTACTTCCTGACAGCTCTGTGACTGAACAAATACTTCCTGACATCCCTGTGATTAATTCGAGTCTTCATCTTCCAACTGTGACCCCTTGTTGCTGTGTCCCATCTCTGGAAAATCCTGTCTGTCCACCTTGTCGATTCCTCTCAGTATTTTATATGTCGTTATCATATTCCCCCCTATCTCTCTTGTCTTCCGGTGTCGTCAGGTCGATTTCTCTTAACCTCTACTCGTAGGACATACGTCTTAGCTCCGGGACTAGTCTTGTTGCAAACTTTTGCACTTTCTCTAATTTCCATAAGGGCGGCTGGCTAGGTATGGGTTCCAAACTGGTGCTGCATACTCCAACATAAGACTAACGTACACTGTGTACAGGGTCCTGAACGATTTCTTATTGAGATGTCGGAATGCTATTCTTAGGTTTGCTAGCGCCCATATGCTGCAGCAGTTACTTGGTTGATGTGCGCTTCAGGAGATGTGCCCGGTGTTATACTCGCCCCAAGATCCTTTTCTTTGAGTGAGGTTTGTAGTCTCTGGCCCCCTAGACTGTCCTCCGTCTGCGGTCTTCCTTGCCCTTCCCCAATCTTCATTACTTTGCATTTGGTGGGTTGAAGTCCAGGAGCCAGTTGCTGGACCAGGCCTGTAGCCTGTCCAGATCCCTTTGTAGTTCTGCCTGATCCTCGTCTGATTGAACTATTCTCATCAACCTCACATCATCCTCAAACAGGGATATATTTCTGAGTCTATTCCTTCTGTCATGTCGTTCACATACATCAGAAACAGCACCAGTCCTAGGACTGACCCCGCTCGTCACAGGCGCCCACTCTGACACCTCATAACGTACCATGACTCGCCGTTATTTTCCCGACAGGTATTCCCTGAGCCATTGGAGTGCCTTCCCTGTTATCCCTGCCTGGTCCTCCAGCTTTCACACTAAACTCTTGTGTGGAACTGTATCAGACGCCTTCTTACAGTCCAAGAAAATGCAATCTTCCGACTCCTCTCTCTCTTATCTTACTGCTGTCACCCTGTCATAGAACTCCAGTAGGTTTGTGACACAGGATTTCCCGTCCTTGAAACCGTGCTGGTTGTTATTGATAAGCTCGTTTCTTTCTAGGTGCTCCACCATTCTTCTGATAATCTTCTCCATGACTTTACATACTATACATGTCAGTGACACTGGTCTGTAGTTTAATGCTTCGTATTTGTCTCCTTTTTTAAAAATTGGGACTACATTTGCTGTCTTCCATACCTCATGTAGTCGCCTTGTTTCGATAGATGTGTTGAAGATTGTTGTCAGTGGTACACATAGCGCCTTTGCGCCCTCTCTCGGTACCCATGGAGAGATGTTATCTGGCCCCATCGCCTTTGAGGTATCTAGCTCGCTTAGAAGCCTCTTCACTTCTTCCTAGGTTGTATGTATTGTATCCAACGCTTGATGGTGTACCCCACCTCTCTATCTTTCTGGAGTCTCTTCTGTCTCCTCTGTGAACACTTTGAATCTTATGTTGAGCTCCTTACATACTTTGCAGTCGTTTCTTGTGATTTCCCCTCCTTCCTTCTTCAGCCTGATTACCTGGTCCTTGACTATTGTCTTCTTCCTGATGTGGCTGTACAACAGCTTTGGGCCAGATTTGGCTTTCACTGCAATGTCATTTTTGTATTGTCATTGGGCCTCCTCTCTTACCTGTGCATATTCATTTCTGACTCTACGACTGCTCTCCTTAATCTCCTGGGTCATTTGCCTTTTATACTTCTTCCATTCTCTAGTACACTTGGTTTTGGTCTCTCTACACCTTTGGGTGAACTAAGGTCTCATCCTGGCTTTCTCATTATTTCTGTTACCCTTGGGTACAAACCTCTACTCGGCTTCCTTGTATATTGTTGTCACATATTCCATCATCTCATTTATTGACTTCCCTGCCAGTTCTCTGTCCCACTGAACCCCGTGCAGGAAATTCTTCATGGCTGTGTAGTCCCTTCTCTTGTAGTGTGGCTTCATTCATTCTGCCCTTCCTGCTTCCCTCTCCACTTGTATTTCTACAATGTATTCGAAGCTCAGAACCACATGGTCACTGGCCCCGAAGGGTCTTTCATATGTGATGTCCTCAGTATCTGCACTACTCAAGGTGAATTCTAGGTCCAGTCTCGCTGGTTCATCCTCTCCTCTCTCTCTCTGGTAGTGTCCCTTACATGTTGATACATGAGGTTTTCCAGTACTACCTCCATCATCTTAGTCCTCCACGTTTCTGGGCCCCCATGTGGCTGCAGGTTCTCCCAGTTTCCTTTTGATTGAAGTCACTTACAATCAGCAGCTTTGCTGTGCTCGCATGAACCCTTCTGGCCACTTCAGCCGTTACTCTCATCTTGCCTTGGCCTTCTGTTGTTCTGTGGTGGGTTATACATCACTATAATTACCGCCTTGGAACCTCCAGACTGAAGTGTCCCTATTATGTAGTCTCTTGCTTCTCCTCTCTCCAGCTCATGAAAATCCCATTGGTTTTTGATGAGCAGCACTCATCCACCCCCTCTGTTCCCTCTGTCTTTTCTCAGGATCTGATATCCCGTTGGAAAGATGGCATCTGTTATCATTCCTGTGAGTTTGGTTTCTGTGAGAGCTATGATGTCCAGTGATGCCTCTTTTATTCTTTCATGCCACTCCTCCCACTTACGTTTTTCCATCAGTGTTGGTGTACCATACCTTCAGTTTGCTCTCCAACACTGTGTTCTGGGGGACGGGGGTTCTGTGGGGGTGGAAGACATGGCAGTGTGCTGTGGAATTGTACAGCATAATGTGGAGTGGGGGCTATAAGTGTGGATTGTGCATTGTTGGGATAGCATGTTTGGCTGTGGGGTTCTTGGGGTGGTTCTGTGGGTGTTTGCGCTTGTTGCTCTACCCTGCTCTGGTTGTCCTCTGCTGACTCTGTCCTTGTGTGTGTGTGTGTGTGTGTGTGTGTGTGTGTGTGTGTGTGTGTGTGTGTGTGTGTGTGTGTGTGTGTGTGTGTGTGGTGTGTGTGACGTGTGTGTACGTGTGTACTCACCTATTTGTTGTTTTAGGGGTCGAGTCATATCGTTTGGCCCCTCCTCTTCGCTGATCACTCCTAGGTCCACTCTCTCCCTTCTCCATGAGCGTGGTTCCTGTCTCCACTACATCACTCTCCAGATTGTTGCACTTCCTGACAACTCTATGACTGAAGAAATACTTCCTAACATCCCTTGACTCCTCTGAGTTTTCAGCTTCCAGCTGTGATCCCTTGTTGCTGTGTCCTATCTCTTACACATTCTGACCTTATCCACCTTATCAATACATCTCGGTATTCTATATATCGTTTATCATGTCCTCCCTATCCCTCCTGTCCTCCAGTGTCGTCGGATTGATTAACCTCTCCTCATAGGATGTACCCCAATGCTCCAGGACTAGTCTCGTTGCAAACCTTAGCACTTTCTTTAATTTCTTGACGTGTTTGACCAGGTGTGGGTTCCATTCAGTGCTGCATACTCCAATATGGGCCTGAAGTACAGGCTCATAACTCCTTACTTAGATGTCGAAACGCTATTCTTAGGTTTTCCAGGCGCCCGGATGCTGCAGCAGTTACTTGGTTGATGTGCGTCTCAGGAGATGTGCTCGATATGACGTTCATTCCAAGATCCTTTTCCTTGAGGTTCACAGCCTTTGACCTTCTAGGTTATATTCCGTCTGCGGTCTTCTTTGTCCTTTCCCTAGACTTCATGACATTGCATATGCTGTTGTTAAACTTCATGAGCCATTTGTCGGACCAAGCTTGCAGTCTGTCCTGATCTTGTAGGCTTACCTGATCCTCGTCCACTTGTAGTCTCCTCTTTAGCTTCACATTGTCTGCGAACAGATCAAGGATCTTGCCAATGATTGACAGCAGTGACACTGGTCTGTAGTTGTTGATTTCTGCTCTACTCTTCTTTTTGTGAACAGAGACTACATTTGCTTCTTTCCACAGAGAAGGCCATTTACACTGTATTACATATACTAGAAACAGTTATGTGAATGACGTAGGACTGACTTGTGGAACGCGACACATGCACCCTCTCTGACACTTCAAGTACCAACACACGTGTTTCTTTCCTGTCAGGTATTCCCTGATCCATTGTAGTATTTTCCCTGCTATTCCTGCCTGCTTCTCTAGCTGTTCAACCAGTCTGTTGTGTGGTACTGTGTCAAAAGACTTCCTACAGTCTACCCATCCCTCTCTCTCCTGTCTTACTTCTGTTACCTTATCGTAGAACTCCAGTAGGTTTGTGATGCAGGATTTCCCTTCCCTGAAGCCGTGCTAGTTGTCATGAACCAGTGCCTTTCTAGGTGCTCCGCCACTCTTCTGATGATCTTCTCCATAACTTTACATATTATACATGTCAGCGACACAGGTCTGTAATTTAGGGTGTGTGTGTGTGTGTGTGTGTTGTGTGTGTGTGTGTGTGTGTGTGTGTGTGTGTGTGTGTGTGTGTTGTGTGTGTGTGTGTGTGTGTGTTGTGTGTGTGTGTTTGTGTGTGTGTGTGTGTTGTGTGTGTGTGTGTGTGTGTGTGTGTGTGTGTTGTGGTGTGTGTGTATGATTGTGCGAGCGTGTGTGTGTGTGTTTGTGTGAATGTGTGTGCGTGCGTGTGCGCGCTCACGTTTGTGCACACGTTACATAGATAAACGAAACGTTCTGAATAGTTTATTTTTAGGCTATGTTTCAACGAGCATAAGGGGACAGTGTAAGTATAGATATATGGTGAACAGGTGAGGCGTAATGGCTTGACCCCAAAATAAAGACAACAGTTAAGATGTTT